GGCCAGAGCCCCGCCGCCCCAAACCGCCCCTGCCCCCCCGGCGGTGAGAGCGGCCCCCGAGGGCTCTGCCCCGCCGGTCGTGCCTCCCGCCCCGCCAGCCCCCCGCACTCACTCTCCTTGGAGGGCAGCGTGTTCTTCTCCTCCGTGTTGGTTTTCTTCAGCTTCTTCTTGTCGAATTTCTCCACCTCCGACAGGTCTGGTTTGTCGCACATTTTGCCTGCGAGACCCCCGCCGCAGTCAGCCGAGGATGGGGACGGGAAGACAAAGGCGGCCCCGGCCCCCCCCGGCCCCCGCCGCGGACAATAGCGCAGGGCGGGGCGCGCCACCGCCCCGGGCACCGCGCCGCTCGCCGGGCCCGGGCAGCCGAGCGGGGCGGCCCCCGGTGCCCGCACACGGCGGGGAGCCCTCCCCGCAGCAGGCAGCCATGGCCCCCCGGGACCCGCCGCGCCCTCAGCCCCCTCCCCGGGGCGCCTCGGCGAGTCCCTGCTGGCAGCAGCGCTGCGCGGAGCCCCCCCTGCGCGGCCCGGCCCGTACCTGCGGCGCTGTAGGGCGCGGTGTGCGCTGGATGCGATGTGCGGTTGGTGCCGGTACCGAGCCCGATCCCGCTCCTTGCGCGTCCAGGTGAGTGTGGAGCGCGCACCGCGCGGGGCGGAGCCTTTTATACCCCGGCCGCCGCCCAGCCCGCGCGCCCATTGGCTGCCCGCCCGCCGGGAAGCGCGTGGCCCGCCAGGGGGCGGCCGCTCCCGCCGTGGCGCGCGACGGGGGCGCGAGCGGGACCGAGCGTGAGGGGCTCGAGGGACCCGGGCGGGGAGGGGACAGCGAGAGAGGAGACGCCGAGTGAGGGCTCACCGGGGACAGGGGCCACGCACCCTCACAGCACACACGGAACAGGGGCCACACAGCCCTCACAGCACACACGGAGCAGGGGCCACACAGCCCTCACAGCACACAGGAGCAGGGGCCACACAGCCCTCACAACACCCACGGAACAGAGGCCACACAGCCCTCACAGCACACACGGAGCAGGGGCCACACAGCCCCCCACACGCGTGGACACAGCTCCTGCTACCGCCACACACGGGCATGGCTCCCACTGCCCCTCCCGTGCGCACACGCACCTGGGTGCCAGGTGTGAGGGGAGCAGGCTGATCCCTATGTGACCAAATGGCTCCAAAGCCACTGTCCCAGCCTCAACCCCCCTTGGCAGAAGCAGGTGCCCCACAGCACGGGAGGCAGCTGTGGCCCATGTGTGTGTCCAGGGATGCTCCCACTGCTGAAGCAGAACTTGAATAAAGCAAGCTTTGGGCTAAAGCCAGCACCCGTTCTCACACCTGTGAGAGATGGTTGGCCACTGTTCAGCTCATGTCTACACTGCCTCTGGCCACAGCACTTCCTGGGGAGGTCTGGTCACTAAAGAAGCAGCATGGGTGGACAAGAAGCTGACCATATTCACAGGCTCTTGCTTGGCAGCAGCAAGCCTGGGAGGCAGCCCAAACTGCAAAAGGGCTGGTGTGCAAGTGGAAGAAACACCTTTGGTGGAAAAAAGCCAAGGGGCAGTGCACACAGCCTGATCCCAGCAAGAAGGACAGTGGCAGTCTGGGGGGCACTTGCATGCTGGCCACCAGGATAGACAGGGGGTAGAGGGCCAGGAAGGTCCTGTAGCTGCTGAAGAGAATGAGGGGAAGGTGAGGAGGCAAAAGAAAAAGTATCCTGACTGCAGATGAGGCTTGCAACACCTTTCTGCAGAGATCTTGGTGCCATGGCGAACAGGAACCTGTTACTGAGCACCAAGGGGTAGCAGCTGTGCTGCAGCAGCTCTCACCTCCACCTCCTCCTGGCCTGCCAACCTCTGGGTTTTGCTCAGGGCTTATTGGAGATTTTGCAGAGAAAATCCCCAGCAATCCGGAGGGAACACTTGCTTTGTGTTCTTTAGCAAGACGACTGCCTTCTTGGCAGGAGGGACCGGTGCTATCCAGCGACAGCAGGTCACGGCCGGAGGTGGCCCTGTGCCGCAAACCCCGAGGCACCTTCTCACTCCTGCCAGAACACGGGCTCTGAACTCAAGAAGCACCAAGAGTTGGCAAACGCTGAAAAGGCAAAGGCCAAGATCTAAGGCCAGGTTGCTCCTCCAAGAGGAGTCTGGATGAGAAGCAGCCTCCCGTTCCTGTGCCTGGAGGGGGAAGGAGAGGCTGCAGGCACAGCTCCAGGCCAGGCTGCTCCCAGAGCAGCTCTGATTTGGTGGTGCAGCCCCAGGCAGGGCTGCCTCCATGAGCATCCTTCAAACCCACCCTGCAGAGCCTGCATCACACAGCCCAGCCCCAGTGAGAAAAGGCTCATCTTTCCTGCACAGCCAGCGAGAACCAAAACATCCATGCAGTTTCAAAATGAACGGAGGAAAAGCTTTTTGCCTTCATGCAAGTAGTCAGACAAGTGTTTTACCATGTGTTTGCTCTCTGGCTGTGCTCACCTTCCCCCTTTGCTTGCCTGTTCTCCACATGCTTCTCCTTTGTGGATGCTGCAGTCTGACGTAGCTTTTGTCCCTGGCAGGCAGCGAGTGCAAAAGAACCTGAACCCCACCCTGCCTGTGCACAGCACCAGCTGCACCCAAAAACCTGCTCACCAGCCCCCCAGCAGATCAGCTGCACCCAGCTGGCAAGGCACAGCCCCTGGGCAATGTGTTGCATCTCCTGATGCTGTAGCACTTTGGAACCCCCGGGTCTTTGTCTGGGCACAAAGCCACCACCGTGGCCACGCAGGCAGGGGAAGGGGAGCTCCCCCTTCCTCAAGCCACACAGGCACCACCACACTCGTAGAAACCACGGCCAGAGCAGCTTTAAAGCCAAGCCTGTGCACTGCCAGCAGGGGAGAGGTGGGGCTGCTGCTGGGGAGCTGCTAAAACCCATCTTGCACAAAGAACAAGAAAGGAGCTTATATCCCAGCAAGAGCTTTTCCCCGACAAATTAGCAAAGCCTCCCATAACAGCACAACCAGCTTCTTTCTTATGTCTTTTGGCATTTCTGCTTTCAATAATTTATAACAAAAGAACTGAGACATCAACAGATAGGGAGAAAGCAGAAACAGCCCTGATCTGAAATAGCACAGACTGACTGCCAGCCATTTTAGATGGGTTTTAAATCTCGCACAGAACAAGGCTGCCAGGCTGATACAGCCTCCCCGGGAACCATTTCCAGGAATGCCTTATTCTCCTCTACAGGAAGGAGGCAGGAGGTTTTCTCTGATCAGGTTTTTCTCAGCCTCCTGACCCATCTGCCTGCAGGGCAGCACCGTGACAGCTGCCAGGCTGAGCCACTCCACAGGGTGACAGCACTTTCTCCCATTTTCACCCCAGCCTCCTGCCACAACCCTTCACATCCATCAGGGCAGGAGCAGCACACTGGGGAAGGCAGCAGCATACTGGGGCTGTTATGTCTTACAGGAGGGCTCATTGCTCCTGTGGATATTGCTGCAGTTCACAAAAGGGCTTGCTAACACTATTTTGCCCTTGCCCAACAGCAGCAAGACAAGGTGCTGTTTTCTTTAGATCACAGAAACACTGACTCCAGGAGACCTCCTTACATCAGTAAGGCAGGAGGGAGGTGCCAGCAAATTATTTTGAGGTTTGACTCATTGTGCTTTTAACGGTGGACACATCCTGCTACCTGCAAGGCACACCTGGCAAGCTCAGCTCCCCCACTGTGCATTAGTTTCAGGTACCCAGGCAGGTGGGTGATGCTGATACAGGACTAGTGATTGATGTGTTCCTTGTTCTGGTGAATTAACAGCAGGCAGGCATGAGATGGCCACCAGCACCAATACCAGCATCCTCCCAGCTGCAGCCACACTCTGGCTGTGCCGGTGGCAGAGGGAGCTGCTGGAGCCCTACCCTGGCTCCTCCTGACCTCCAATTGCAGGAGCACGGCAAATGACTCAGTTGAGATTTTCTCCTGGGAAATAACTTGTTTTGTACAGTAGTAACTCAGACAGCTGTGAGGAAAGTCTAAGACACCCCACAGCTCACCTTTAGACTTTGGTGAAGTCTCCATCCTTTCTGATCTGAAGGCTTCAGAGCAGTGTAACTTTACACAGGTATGAGAACTCTCCCAAGGAGGTATCTCCCATCCTTTGTAAGAGCTACAATGTCATACAGCACATTAAGTCTGTGCCCTCTCCCAGCTCAAACACCTGGTTTTATCATAGTAACTAAGAAAACATTATATACTCACTAATAACAATGGTCCCCTGTATAGAAATTGCTGTAAAGCTCTGTTCTTTTATCAAAGGAAGGTGAAATCTGCTACATAATCCTGACAAGACCCACAGCACCCACCCTACTATTTGGGGGAAAAAAACCATTTTTTCACTTATTCACTGGCCCGTACTGCAGGACATTTTAACAGATGGACAAAAATTGTGATCCTCAGCAAAGGTTTGCCTGGGGCCACGGTTCAGTCTAGGCCTGCAGGTCTATTTGTAATGCCAAGGCCTTTCTCCAGACCTGCCACCTCATCCTTTTGACTTCATACTTTCCCATCTGCAACACACAATGAGAAAGGGTCAGGGTTTAGTCAGAACAAGTGCTCCTCAGGACATAATCCTACTGTCTCTGATCATCAGCTTTGTGCGAGACACTTACAAATTCTTCATTTGTACTTGTTAAAATATTCAGGCTTCTCCTACCTGAACATTATGTGTATGAATCTGCTCAGATACATAATTGAACAGTACTAGAGAAGCTGTACTACCACCTCTAACAATTAAGTCCAGGACATCAAACATTGACAAAAGGAATTACTCAGTGCTTGGTCTTATGCTTTTCCTTCCATGCAATAGGAGCAGAGCCAAGCTGAACCTCACAGATGCCCACATGCACAAGGGTTAAACCAGATGACCTTCCAAGGTCTCTTCTAAATAAAAGTACTTCATGATCTACCCTTGAAATGACCCAATTCAGAAGATTCATGTCACTTAAGATTTTTGGAAGTATTTACAAGCAGAGGCCGTGGTTTTTAAATAAAAGTTTAATTCCTTCATCAGGTCTTAACTTTAAACACAAATGCTGCTGAAAATCCTCCCAGCACTGCTCTGATGTCCTGGCCTTTGGCTCTCAGAGCAGCAGCAGGATGGCAGCAGGGGCTCCCATACAGGTGGGATCACAGACTCTCAGGAGAGCTCAGTGCAGGATGCAAAGCAAAGAAGCAAGAGATGCACAGTTTCCAGACAAACACCAATTCTTATACAAAAAGAAAAGCTCTACACTAATAGAAGTGTTAATGTTGCCACAGGACAGGAGTTTAGGAAGGGAGAGAAGTCTTCAGTAAAAGGCACAACTAAAGAAGTACTTCCCTAGATTTTAACCACATCTTTCAGTTAGTTCCACTTATACCCCAGCCCCCAGCCTCTCAAAGCCATGCTGGTTACTGTAGAAAGAATTTTCAAGTTCCTTCTTTTCCCTTTTTCCCTTCCTCCAGCTCAAAAACAAATAAAAAAGGAGTGCTTATTAAAAAAAACAAACAAAAAAACCAAAACAAAAGAAAACCAGAATAAAACAGTTTGGTCTATAAACCGTAAGAGTTCAAGAGAGACTTAGCAGTTTACCTTACGATTGTCTGGTACATTTTCAAAGTATTCAAGTTTCAGATGATACTTATTACATCCAAGAGCCTCAGCCAGCTCTAGTTTTGGTATTTTTCTTTCAGGCACTTTGTGGCCTGTCAGGTTGGTGTTAAATCTGTAGTTCTCCCAGCATTATGTATCACCAGCCTCTTCAACCCATTGCCATGAACACTCCTGGGAAGCATCAGACCTACTCCAAGGGTTCTTCAGGTTCTGTTGTCCTGCAACCTGCAGTGCTCCTTGGCTTAGGGTATTTTGCAAGAAGCAAGGCTTTCAAGGAAAGGCAGACAGTGAGCAGGACAATGTCTCAATAACTTCCAGGATAGCAGGACTGTAACAGGCATTGAGTGAGAGGCTGAGCCAGCTGGACACAAAGCTGTTGTGTTTCAGGTCACCCCAGCATCTGAGCAGGCACTTGCTAGATGCAACAACCTTGCTGCTGTTGGACAGAGGCTCTGTTACTACTGTACTGGTAAAAAAAGTGTTGGGGGTTGCACAGCAGGTCAAGGTGCAGCTGCAGCACATGACAGCAGAGCTCTAGTTAGCTAGCAAGGCTAACAGGAAGCTGTGAAATTGAGAAGCTGGCTTTAGCCTGCACTAGAAACCAAAGCACACAACCACCACAAGTTCTCTATGTCAGAGCTTTTGGAAAAGAACACTTGTCCAGGATGCACCTTCCCCACTAAGCTAGTACAGCACTGCACAGACTCTGCTCTCACCCTCACTTTGCTGTGTAGTGCACTAAAGGGCATTTAATTTCATCAACAATTAAGAAGAATTCAAGTTTGCAAGCTACACTGATCTCCTTTTATGGGAGGAAGCTGTAGCAGAACAACTCCCATGGTGTCTCCCAGGGCTTCACAAGGGTCAAGCTTGGCCAAGACACAAGCCTTCCCCACCACTCTCCAAGGGCTCTGTCAGGTACAGAGTGGTAAGACAGCCAGCAGTCTCTTGGGCTCTTGCTGTAGATCCAGATCAACATGTCCTAGGGAGCTCTACTTCCCAAACAATTTAGAATGCACATGCCAGATCATCTAACCCTGCCCACAGACAAACCCTCTCCCTCCCCCCCTCAAAATAATTGTGGCAATTAGCCATGTGTCAGTCCTGCTCTCCACAGACCTGCAGAATTGAGTCAGTGCTACTGACCAGCTCCATGCACAGGGGTGCTGGTGGAGTTGGCTGTTATAAACATGAGCTTTCCCCTCCAGCCTCCCAGTGCTGGGAACAGAGCCAGTAAGCCTGACTTAAGCAGGAGATGTGGAGAACTGCACTGGAACAAGCAGAGTCTTCTACTGAACTTTACAACAAGCTGAACAACTTTTGGTTTTAAAAAAAAAAGCCATACAAGCAGCAGCTGACATCTGTTGTTATAAAGGGACATGGCTGAATAGGTAGGAAACAGATTCCCCATTATGAGTCCTCCTGATGGCCTCTGCAAGGATCATGGAGATGTCAATCACCTGGAAGGGAAGAAAGATGCATCAGTGCCATTGAGAAAAGGCATCAAGCCTGAAAGAACTGCTGGGAAGCCAGGGACAACCTAAAGAATAAACTCATCACCCACATTTTAACATGCCAGATGCAGAGAAATTACTTCTACACAGGATTAGGATTTAATTACATCTAAGCCTGAAGATACCCCACAAATAGCACTACAAATATTCTACTTGGTCTGTCAGTTACATTCTACTGTTGCCTTGCTTTGCTCAGACTCCCTAGGTTCAATCTGTTTACCACAGGACTCACTTATTCACTTTGTGCAGAGAAGTTAGGGCAGTCTAAATCAAGATGAAATCACTTCCCTTGAGCCAAGAGGTTTTACCACTGCTGCCAGCAGTCTGAGAGACAAAGCTGCTGTGCTGCAGCTCAGCTCCTGGGTGCTGTGCTGGCTCCATCTGGTGGGGTCAGAAAGGTAGCAGGAGGGAAAGCTGAGTCTCAGCCAAATCCCAGCTCTGAATCCCCACAGCTAAAGCATTTCAATATATGTAGTCTAGTAAAAATCACTATATTCATGGTGCATTAAGGAAACCAAGTGAAAATTGTATTTAATATTTTTCATCTTCTAGATAGTTTGTTTCTGAAGGGAAGAAAAAATGAACAAGCTGCAGAGTAAAGCCTGAGACTTGTGACAAATCCTTTAGCTCTGTGCTCCTCAACATCAGACACCAGTGTGTAAATGTGAGGTATTAGAGGAGAGCCTGGAATACTGCTCCACTGCATCTTTGGCAACAGCTACTTACACAGAGGCTGCCAGTTTAACATTTTGCCTACACCAGCTGCTGTGTGGAGCCTGAAAACAAGGTGAAGCACCAGAAAATGTTTTAGAGGCTGCAGGAGTATCATTCAGAAGTTAGTGCTGAAAGAATTGCAACCCAACAGCAGCTTGCAATCAGCTTATAACATATTTCCAAAAGCAGCTTAAAAATGACTGGAGCTTCAACCAGTTCAGCTGCCCTCTCACCAGCAGCCCAGCAGTGGGGAAACCTCTACACCCACACCACAGCACTGGCTGAGTGTGAGTAGTGCCAGAACTTCTCCAAATGCTTGTGTCCCAGATGTTGGTGCTGTGAAGCCAAGGCCCATCTGGAATTAAATCTAGTAAAGGGCATCAGAGACAAGAATAATGTTTTCCTTTTGTTATTGATGTATTTGGAAAAACCTAATAATAATGTGGGCCTGTTCCTAAAGGGAAGGGGTACCCTGGTGACAGAGGATGCACAGAGAGCAGTTAGTGAGCACCTTCTTTGCATCAGTCTGCACCGATATGCAGGAGACCTGGGTAAGGGAATGCTGGAAGGAAGACTCTTCCTTAGGGAGGAGTGGGTTAGAGGACACTGGGGCAGATTTGATATCCACAAGTCCATGGGCCCTGATGGGATACATTCATGAGTACTGAGAGATCTGGGAGACATCACAGCCAGGCACTCATGATCAGCTCTGAAAGGTCCTGCGGATCAGCAGAGATGCCTGAGGACTGGAAGAAAGCAAATATAACCCAGAACTACTGGCCAGTCAGCCTCACATCAATCCCTGGGCAGGTGACAGAGCACTTCATTCTGGAGGCCATCTCTGTGCACATGGGTGACAAGAACATGATCAGGAATAGTCAGCATGGATTCACCAAGGCAAATCATGCTTCACCAACCTGATCACCTATGAGGAAGCAACTACCTGGATGGGTGAGGGGAGAACAGTGGATATTGTCAACTTCAGCAAGGCTGCTGACACTGTCTGTCATGAAATCCTCACAGGCAAAACCCAAGAAGTGTACACTGGATGAGTGGATTGAGAACTGGAAGAACAGCAGATTCTGGGGCTCATTATCAGCTTTTAGTTTTCACATGGATGGCAAAGGCTGAGCATAAAGTGACAGATACACAACAAAGCTGTCAGCACCAACATCAGAAGCTCCTGTCTACCTCTGTTTCAGCACTGCACATCAGCACATCACTCCTCCAAAGGGCACACATCCAACTACTTGCCTACATCGTGGCCCCATTAAATCAGACACCTGATCTAGGTAAAACAAGCCCTGTAAAAAAAAGATCCTTTATGAACTGTTTGAAATGAGCTGCAACAGAAGCTGCTTTATATCAGTGTAACATGTCTGTTACCCCACAGCAACAGGGCCAAGAGAACTAGGCAACACTGATGGCAGTACCAACAGAACCACTGTCAGCACTACACAGTATTGTGGGATTTTCACCCCCAACAGGTGACCAGACAAGGCTACCACCCTCCAGGAGTGACAGAAAATAGATGCTCACCTGGATTTTAGGGCACTGCTTCATCTTGTCCTCCTGGGGTATTGTGTTTGTGACTACAACTGCCTCAAAACAGGCATTGTTAATGCGGGAAATTGCTGGCCCAGAAAAGATCCCATGAGTTAAGATGGCATAAACTTTGGTGGCTCCAGCTGACACAAGCCTGCAAGGGGGAGTAAAGGACAAGGATGAGTAATTCTCAGCAAGTATTAAACTGACATAAGAGCAGGGCACATGGTAAGCATGACTGGAGACAGCACCATGTGCCTGGGGAACAGGTTACCTTTGATTCCCCTACTCTACTGACTTGGGAAAAAAAAACCAAAAAACAGTTTTACAAGTACCATGAAATCCACTACAGGCAAAGCACACACTGGAAAAAACCCCTTTGTTCTTAGCTCTGGAATAGTTGGAACAGATCATACAAATGACCTTCTGTAATTTTTGCTTACACAAGGTAGCAGATATTTAATACTGTGCTAATACTTTAATACTTTATTTAATACAATATGAAATACTGTGCTAATTTTTAATACTGTATTTTACAGTTAATATGTTGCTGCTTCTAGAGTAAAAGGCATGAATGATATCAAAGTCTGAAGAGCTTATTTCTAATACAAAACCAGCTGATGGACCAGACAACACTTAGTTCTACCTGGCCTGGTCAATGATGGTCCATTTTCAATGCAGGGAAATAAAAAGACATTATGGTCTTCTACTATTCCCACTGCAAGAACTTTTACTGGGTCTTTTTCCTTATTTTATATGACACCAATAATAAAGAAACTGCATGAGCCGACTGCAAGAACTTTTACTGTTTTTTTTTCCTTAATTTGTATGACATGAATAATCAAGAAACTGCACGAGCCTTGTGAAACTTGTCATACAAATAATCTGCTTAACCCATTACACAGTGCTCCCCAAGAGCAGGTTCCTGGGTTAGGAGGGCAGCAGCCAGCCCCACTCACTTGTCTGCAGCGTGGCAGATGGTGCCACACGTGTCTGCCATGTCATCCACCAGGATAGCCACTCTGTCCTTGACGTCCCCCACCAGCACCATGCGATCGACCTCGTTGGCCTTCTTGCGCTCCTTGTGGATGAGGGCAAAGTCCACGTTCAAGCGATCTGCAATGGAGGTCACTCTGAGGAGAGAACAGTTCCCAAACAACACTTTACTCACATAGCAGCTTCGGGGAAAGCTCTCTCAATATCAAACACACTGCACTAAGAGGAGCTGTCACCACATCTGCTACTGCTCCCAAGCAATTAATAGAAGGCACTCTGCCACCTTCGTTTCCCTTCGAGCAGCTAAACTGCAACCTCTGATCTAATCTCTCTCAGTGACTGCAAACAGATCTCATCTTTCATCATGACCACTGTAAACTAATTTGCATTTAAGCTGAAAACAAATCTTAATCAGCAAGGTCAGCAAACTTGAAGCAATCCAAACACTTGGAAAGTTGTCATCATTGTAACACTACACGGGAAAGGCTTAAGTTGTGCTATGACAGGGCTTTACTGTCACTCCTGTAAGCACTCAATCATCATGCACACAAGCACTGGCACAGATTGTGGCAGGATTACACATCCAGGAGATTCAAATACACCACCTAACATTTATTCCCATTAAAGTGACTGCAGAACAACCTTACTAGAGGGATCTTAACTTTATATATTGATACTGACAAACAGTAAAGAGGTTAAAAGCATTAAGAGCGGAAGGAGTAAAACACACATGCTCCCAAGAAACTCTTCACTTGAGGTAAGTAGACTCTTAGCCCCACTAGATCAGACTTAACATCCTGGTGGTCCTACACAAGACTGTTAAACTAAACTGAAGTATTTGGCTTTGCATATCTCCATAAAATACTGCACCAGCCAAGATCGACACATTTCAGTATAAGAGGCTTTTGAGCAGATTTTTTCAAGAGTCAGATTATATCTGGCTGGTTTGGCACTTCATATACTGTGTTATGCAACGAGCTACAGAAATAGCTGAATGTACAGGAGGTCTTGCCCAATCCATGGACCACAGCAGAGCTACAGAAGACATCCAGTGACCTCCACTGTGTCTCTTGGCTGCCTGTAACATGTCACTTCAAACATTCTGAGGCATGTGAATCACATCAGCACCCACCAACATTTTGGTGTGACAGCCCTGGATTAAAGAATACATCTGTGTCCCTCTACTGTTCACACGTAGCCCTCAGACAGAAGCATCAAGGAACAGCCTATTTCTCCTAAAAAGCCTCTGAGAACATTCTGGGCTGCCCACAAACTGGCATGTTTGTCTGCAGGGAGATGGGAGATTGTAAGGCTATCAAAATAGAAATGTGCTATAGCATATGCTGCTGCTTTTTGGAAAGGAACCATCTATCTTCCTCGTTCTCAGGGAAGATGAAGAGAGGCAGCAGGCCTAAATCACAGCTAGATATTCAAATCCAGGGTAATAAAGTAAGAAAATACCTCAAGAGACTAAGTTTAATTCTGCAAAGAAAGCAGCCTGGATAAAAATGTATCATTAATCATCAGCAGTAAGCTTGCCTTGGCATAGGGGTGTAAGCTACACTATTTCCTCCTCCAGTTGGCATAAACACCCTTGTACAAATTGGTTTACTCCAAGGGAGGTAGCTGTTGTGCAATTCCTACCTATGCAGCTGTGATTCTAGAAGCTATTAAATGCTCCATGTAGCCCAAGAAACCTTCTAAACATTCCCTAGGAAGAGTTATCTGACCACTGTTCACCAGCTGTCCCAGACTGCCTGAGAGAAGGCAGACTGAAAGAAGGAACATGTTTTAAAAATAGAGTCTCAAGGATTCTTAGGAATTGAAGTAGACACAGAAGCAGCATCTCAAGCTACCTGTCTGACAGCTCACCTCTTGGCTCCACCAGCATCTGGTGAAACAATGGTGCAGTTCTTCCACTCTGGAATATTCTCTTTGATCCATTTCAGTACAGCAGGCTCAGCATATAAATTATCAACAGGGATGTCAAAAAAACCCTGCAAGGAAGACAACAGGAACAGATGTAGCTGAAAGCCCCATTCCAGAAACAGTTGTAGGAAGCTTTCTATATCATCAGGCATGCAATCATCACCTTTCCACAGCCTTCAGCTTTCCTTTTTACTTCCCTTGATGTAAGGGCAGTAGTCTTTGGGATACACAGAATAGTAATGTAAGAAGTCTTCAGAGCCAGAAATAGCTCAGCAGCATAAATAACACTTTATATTTAACACCTCCACAAAATGAAACTAGTTCTGTCCTGGGGGCTGCAGAAAGCCTGCAGCAAATGCACTCATTTCCAGAGCAGCTGGCTGCCTGTTTACAGTCAGTCTTTAAAGCTCATTACCCAAACTGTTCACATCTACAAAACAGGCTTGAGGAACATCTGTCTTTAAAGTAATGCAGCTGGTTCCATAACTTTACAGTGACCCTGCAGACCTCTCCAAATCTCATAGGTCACAAAATACCAGAATTTATCCCTGGAGTAAACAGGCAGGAGAGTGAGGGGCAGCTGCTCCTGAGGAATGCTTCAAGGTACAGGGTAACAGACCCTTCTCACTATCATTCCTCCTGTGCTCAGCAACACAGCAGCTACAGGAACCAGGCTGAAACCAGCCAGATGCTGGAAGCACATGTGCACAAATTATCCCATGAAATCCCATCACTGCTGCTGGGGCAAGGTCAGCCCTTTCAGTCACACCAATTCCAAGCCCTGTAGGAAGAGGGACCCCCTTGGGCTCAGTTATTTCATGCTCTTTCTGAGAGCCTTCTCAGCTGTGCCCCTACAGATTTTTTTTTCATCTGAGACAGTATTTCTGGGAAAATCATACTGAAGTGTGAATGACTGCACTTCCAAGTGTTAAAACAACAGCCAGCCCACTTACTTCAGCAGGCAATAGCTACCTTACCCTATGCAGCAATACAACAGACATTCTTCCCTCTGCCACACCCCTCTCAGTGGCACTGAGTTGGTTTCTTGGTCTTGAGCACTTGCTCAAGAGAGAGAAAAACAAAATCAACCTGAGCTTGCAGCATCTCCTCTCCTCTTTCTGGCAAATACTCCTGCCAGCTTTCTTACACAGCCCAAATCAAGACTTTAGTTGCTCTGTGAGATATTTTGTTCATAAGCCAACAAAGCCTATGAATGATTTTCAATTCACTACCAGCCTGGGAGAGAACCAAGGCCAGCCTGTGTGGGAGGGTGGCACTGAATGGATACAAATGGGATTGCCCATCTTTGCCAGAAATGGATACAAATGGGATTGCCCATCTTTGCCAGAGGCAGGCTATCAGATCACTGTCCTGGTCAACCAAACACACAAATGCAGCTGTGCCAGGACACCTGAGGGCAGAACTAACTACTCACCTCTCCAAGACAACACACTAAGTATCAGAAATACTGCTCAGAATTTAAAGACACTCTCTCCAACTCCCATTCCTCCAAGGTCTAGTGAAGAACAAACAGTGTCAGTGTGTGGCCACAAAGCTGTAGTGATCATTTACTAGCTCATTTACACAAGACTCAGTCTGATGAAGAACAACTGTACTTTCATTTACAGGTTAACCTGTTACCCACCTCGCCATCCAGCCCCAAATTCCCAAGTCTTGATCACTGCAGTATCTCCAAAAAGCAGATGACTGGAAAGCTTGCAAAGCAGCCAAGAGGCTCAGACTGGAACTGGTTAAGTCCCTTCCTGATTTTTGCTCCTACCTGAATCTGAGATGCATGCAGGTCCATGGTGATGATGTGATCTGCACCTGCCACAGACAGCATGTTTGCAACCAACTTGGCAGAGATTGGAGCTCGACTCTGGTACAGGAGAAAAAAAAAAAAGACAGTATAAGACAAGTTCAACTCCTTCATCAAGATGTCAGCCTTCTGCTTCCAGGCAGTGATTCACAAGCAGTTACTAAAAGGAGCACTCATTAACATTGCATCTTCTCATCAGCTAGCGAGTAGACTTTAGTATATTTTCAAGAAGAACTAGATCTTTATGAAAAGATCATTTTGCAGTCTAATGTTTCAAAGTTTAACAAACTGAACAGAGGTTGGATATTCAGAGGAGGCGACAAAACTTCATTTAAATCCTCTCCAGCAGTCAGGACTTTCAAGCTGTGTCTTTAACTTCCTTGCAGAAACCTTTACCACATCCCTTACCTTGTCCTTTTTGTCCTGCCGGGCGTAAGGGAAGCAGGGGATGACAGCTGTGACTCTGCTGGCTGAGGCAATCTTGCAGGCATTTATCATGATGAGGAGCTCCATCAGATTGTCATTGATTTCCCCACAGCCACTCTGCACAATGTAGACATCCTCCCCACGAACACTCTCACCTATTTCCACGCTGGAAACATCAGAAGAAAGTTGGAGCCAAACAAATTAAAGCACAGCCATTACCTGTGCCTGCAGAGCAACCAAGGCCCTGCATCCCCAAGGTTCTGTGGGTGACAGTGCCATATAATCAAGGCTGTTGAACAGGAACACTGCTGTTTATTTGCTCAGTGGCTATTTTACAGCGCTCTCTCATCAGATTTAATGGTCTAGCCAGTAAGGCTAAAAGCACTCAGCCTGTACTCTTGATCTCAACACAAGCTGAGTATGTAAACACCCCAGAGCAGGCCTTGTTCCCCTGGAATCACAAGCACAGCCACCTCTAAAAGCAGCAGTGCACAAAGGAGCAAGGAGCGTGGCCAGCCACCAGCCAGAGTGGGGTCAAACTGCTACCAAAGCAACACTGCAGCCAATTATCAGATTGAGACTCATAACAGCCATTCTGGGGCTCCAGCAGAGGAGCACTCCAGCCTTTCACTCTGGAAAGGCTTCTGGGGTTAATTTTCTCCTGGATGCAGTGCACACTAATCCCTGCTGATGAAGGGCCTGAACACAAGCCAAAGGTCCTGTTTGCCAGCAGCAAAATGCCAGCTCCAGTGCATGTATGGAGACACCTGCACCAGAAACAGTGGGAAAGAAACCACTTCAGCTATAGAGCCCCTCAGGGTAGAGCTCTAATTCTAATATTTTCTTCCCTGACCATTCTGATCTCTTCCTCAAACTTTTTTTGATGACTGTTATCTATTTATATCTTACTGCTCAATATCCATCAGCAAGCTGCTGTCATCTTTACTGCCCCCCTGATTTACAGGATGCATCCATCTCCCATGGAGAGCTTCTGTCAATGAGAACTCTGCTGGGGAACTGTCTGATTATCAGCAGTTAGCATCAAAGTGTCATCTTCAATATTAGGGTGATTTAAGATATCTATGGTACAAAAAAGTCTATGAATTATTCTGTTGAAACAGTCTTACTCTTTTGGGAAAGCACCTGCTGTCAGTTTATTGGGTAAATAAGATGTATTTCAAGTCTTCAAGTCACATTACCTGCTGACATGGGAACCTGCTGGCCAGCCAGCTAGATGGGTAAGAGCAATTAATAAAGAACAATGAGAACAGTGCAAGGGCTGTAAATCAAACAGAACTTTTTAAAACTCCTCTACAACTCTCTGTACTACCTCTGAGGTTTCACAATCGATATCCATGGCAAGAGAAACATAATACTGTACGTCACATGTACATCCTGGATTTTTTTTGGGGAAAAAAAAATCTGTTTCCAGAAAGAGTGGGCTGGAGCAATCAAGTTCTTTATATTATACTCTTTGGTGTATACATGGTTAGTGTATTCTCTAAAGCAAGCTTAAGGAGCTCTGAACAAGTTTAAACCTCCTTTTTAGCTTTACGTAGGATGGCAGCAAGATTTTTAAAGCATAGCTACATAAAACAAGGGGAACATGAGGTTTCAAAGCTGGAGGGAAGCAGACTGCGTGACTGCAAATGCACCGTGGGATGCACGGAGGTGTGAGCCTCCTCTCTCTCCTTAAGAATTCTAGCGATACTTTCTAAGACTCTGAAGCTCCTCAGCGAAGTTTAAAGGTACCAGCTACATGCTAAACACAAAATTATCAAGCCTCAAGTCATCAGAGTTTACATTTAAGCATGAAAAAGCCTGGTCAGTGTAGGTTTAACTCCGAGTTGCGCCGTCCCATCAGGTCGCGGCTTCGGGGTGGAGAGGGCAAGGTCCGGGTGGCGAATTGCACCGCTCCAACAGTGGCCACAGCGGCCAGGTCATACAAACCCTGCAAGCTCAGGAGCCCCGCGCGGCCTCGGCTGCTGATGAAGCCCCAAAAGGGGCGCTGGAAGCCCCAAAGGCGGCGGGGGGGAGCCCGCGTGGGGCCCGCGCCGTGAGGCGGGGGCCGCTGGAGGCACGGCCCGGGCCGCACATGGCTCCCGGGGCGCACCGCGGCCCGGCCTCGTCCCGCACCGAGACCCGCCTGTGCCCGGGGGACGTGCACGATGCACCCGAGGGCTCCGGGGCAGCAGGGGCCCGGCGGGAGCGCTCTGGAGAGGTCTCCGAGCTCAGTTCTGCAGCCGGGCCCGACCGCACGGCCCTCAAACTACAACCCCCATCATCCTCCGCGCGCAGACCGCGCGGTACCCAGCGCCGCAGCGTCGCGAGGCCTGCCGGGAGCTGTAGTGCGGCCGCGCCCCGCCCCGCCTCACCATGTCTCCTGGTTGCTGAACTTCTTGGTGACCACCTTGCCCAGCTCCAGGCCCAAGCGGTCGGCGATCTTCTGGGACAAGTCCTGGTGCGAGCTACCGCTGAAGATCTTGATGTTGGGCATGGCGGCGGCTGCAGCACCGGCACCCTTTTTCTCCCCCTCGTCGTCGCTCCGCCACGCAGCGCCCGCGGCTGCCGCGCGGGGACCCGCCCGCCTCCTGCGAGGACGCGGCACAGTGGGTACAGGTCACACCAGTCGCCTCTACGCCGCCATCTTACCCTTTCCCGCCTACCGCGCCGACCCTTTATAGCCTCTCCGCCCCGAGGACACGCCCCCAATCGCTTCCTATTGGCTGTACCGCCACAGGGGGCGGGGTTCCCCTGAACGGCGCGGCAGCAGTGGGCGTGGCTTGACGCGTCTCCTTCCCCTTGAGGGCGAGGAGCGGTGCGCGCGGCCTCCAGCTGGGGGCGGGGCCTAGGGCAGGAGGCGGCCTGCGGTTGGTCGCTATGTGGCAACCTGCGCTGCGATTGGCCAGAGCGGCGGCGGGCTGAGCGCGCGGCCGGCCCTGCCCCACGTGTCCGCGCGGGTGCAGCCGCCCCCCGGCGGCCATGATGGCGCCCCCCGCGCCGGGGGAAGGCTCCGGGCCATAGCCTCGCTGCTGCCTCACGGCGCCGCCCCCGCCGCCCCTGCCCCGCTACCGCCGCCCCTCCGCCGCCAGCGGGGCCCTGCCGCGCCGCCGCCACCGTTACCTGAGCATGCCGGCCTGCCCGCGCCCGCCGCGTCCGTCCCCGCCGCCCTGCGCGGCGCTGCGCGGAGCTGGCGTCACCCGGCGGGCCGCGTGTGAGGCGGTACCGGCTGACACCGGGTGGCACCGGGCCCGCTGCGGCACCTCCGAGCCCCGCGACAGGGTGCCGGCCCTGCCCTTCAAGGGCTGTGCTGATTTTGGGTCAGGGCTGCAGCCCGCCTGGCGGCTGATTAATTCCTGAGGGATTTTTATGTTTATAGTCGGGATTTTGTACCCAATTCCATACCAAATTATAGATTTATATCATATATATATATATATATATATATATATATATGGTAGATACATGTATGTGTATGTATACATCTATCTTATAACTATATATAATTATATATGTAACTAACTATAGACTAATACCAAATCAGTCTTCTGTGAATTATCGGTCTGTATGTGACTGCATTATGCGCATTAATTTATCTTTGGTGAAAATAAACATTGTGCTTAAGGGTTTTTAACCTTTAAACCTGGATATCATTGAATCGTAGAATATCCTGGGTTGTGAGGGAATCACCAAGTCCTGACTCCTGGCCCTGCACAGGACACCCCCAAGAATCCCACCAAAGTGATTTTTATAGTGGTTTATTCTTGCTCTAAATTTCTGATCCAGTCTCCAGTTGTTAATAGGCCAATATAGTCCTGTCCTTTTTCTAAGACTTAATTATCTCAAATTACTTTTCACTACTTTGAAGGAAATGATACTCAAATTTTAGCTTGCATACATTATTATAAACCCCTTCAAAATAAAGAGGCCGTGTGTTTCATCATAGAGAATGCAGGAATTGATAATTCCTTGCATTTCTGTGTTTCTATCAGACACACAACACCAGCAAATCCAGGGTAATGATGAGACCAAGCCAGGGACTCTTCACTCCCTGTCTGTGCTTGTTGTTTCCCCATGAAGTGAAGAAGGAAGATTGACACATTTATAGAAACATACAAATATATATATAAATAAGCCACGGCTTCTTCAGAATTTTTATGCAATTGTATAATTCCTGCTCATGTTACCTGAATTTCTAAGAGGCAATAAACTTCTGCAGTGAATTTGACATTGATTTTCTTCCAGTCCTTGAGAATTCAACCAGAAGAAATCATCCACAATCAAGGGGGGGTGGGGCTGGCCATGTTTTCTTTATTTTCTTTAAACTCCCCTGGCCCCAAATGCTGCTGCCACTATCCCCAAAGACCCATAAATTAATGACTGCAATACCATACTTGGAGGAGGTTTTCCAGAACATTTTGTACAGTGTCGTTAAATTTGGAATTCATCTGCATAAAAATAGGTATTGATTCCCATGCTTTGCATTGATGGAACTGGAATATTAATACCGGTAATTTTGATTATTTTCTGGTGTAGCTGCAGCAGTTTTGAGATGCTGTGACAGACAACAAATCCAGGGAATGGGGAAGGAAGAACACAGCCCTTTGCTTCTAATTTGTTGCTAATCATTGCTCATTTTAGCAAAGAACAATCATCTTAACAAATAAAATTAATCTTAGCAGTGAAGAAAACTTCACTGGGCAGTGGCTACCTGATGGTTCAAGGGATGGGATTTGAGGCTCCCTCCCAAATTTCCAGCAGACACATTTTTGCCCCAAATGCACATCCCTGCAGCCATTCACTGCTGCCTCCAGGTCTGGGGCACACCTTGGTTTTGAAGTATTTGATTAAAACTCTTGTTTTAAATTCCATTTAATTGTATACAGAATGAGAGTTTTCTGTGCCCAGGCACAGAAAACAGAAACATCTCAGTTGATTTGTGAACCAGGCAGTGGGGCCCTGAGGCTGAAGGCAGCAGAGGGTGTATTTAAACATGCAAATTATGCCTCTCATTGATGAGCCCTGCCTGGGCTTCTCTCCACAGGACTTTGGAAGCAGCTTCCTATCAGGATCCTCCTGGAATCACAGAGATGTGATTTGGGGGAGTGAAAAATCTGACCAAAAAAAAAAAAAAAAAAAAAAAAGAATTAAATCCTTAATCCTAAAACCAGGAACTAGCAACCTGCTCTGTGTAAAATCAAAGATATTTTTTCCCTTTCGGAGCTGGCAGCCAGGTGTGTTTTCACACCCACCTGCTTCCCTCCTATTTCAGCCTCCGCGGAGCCTTTGTAGATTGGCCGGGGCTTTGTTCCTGAGGACAAAAGTCCACCTCCACTAACGACTCCCCGAGCTCTTGGAACAGGATAACCTCAGGGATTTGCTTAAGGAGAAGCTCTTAATGCACCAGAGTCTGAGTTAAACAAAGGCAAAACTCGCTCAGGAGGTTCCTCAGCCGCAGCTGGTCTAGAGCAGGGCGCTTTGCCATGCAGGGACAAGGAGGAGCAGCTTTGAAGAGTGAGAGGTTTATCTGGTTCCTGGGATGAAAGGAGAGACTCTGCTTGCATCCCTTGAAAACCAAACCAAACTGGCTTGGGAGTCGGGATTTCTGTCAAAGGCTGCCCAGGGAAATGATCACAGATGATGAAAGAAGTGCATTGGAGTGTCTCAGCTCTGGTGTGGATGCCCTTATTCACCTCAAAGCACCTCATTGCAGCTGGTGAGCCTCATTCTGAAAGCAAAATACAAGAAATTGAATTATTTCCTTTCAATCTAAAGGAGTTTATTTAATTTTCTGGTGGTTTACAGTAGGGACAAGCACAAGCTGGCCTGGACAAGCAGAAAGGACAAGCTCATAGCCTGAGGTGCTGTGTTCCATCAAGTTCTGAAAATTGTGAATTAAATTAGCGTCCAACTGAGGAGAACCTGAAAAAACACAAACAGGCAAAAAAATCTTTACTTACCTGATTCGAAGGAGGTGCAATTAATCAGAAATACCTTTGTGTGTCACAAGCTGAGAATGAAATTCCCAGGAAGTTTCCAGCAGCACATTAACAGCATCAAATTTCATGGCGACATCAATCAAGACAAGTAGCCCTCGTCCCCCTCTTGGCACTTTCCTGCATACAATTGCCACTCAATTACCACCAGCCACTAATCAAGAGCACATTTTCATGCAAAAATCCCGTGGCTGAGGGTTGTTATTTCTTTCTGTTGCCTTGTGACTTCCCTGCCTCACAGCCGGTTCTGTTAATGAATGGCACTTGATGGAAATGACACCGGGCTCTGCCCTCTTGCCTTGGTGGCTGGAAAAATTGAAGGTCAAAAAAAAAAAGTAAAGAGAAGTAGAGGTAGATAAAAAGTGGGAGGATGGATAGGAAAGTAGAAGCTGAGGAAAAAAAAATAATAATAAAAGGAAGGCTGAAAAGTAGAGGCTAAAAAAGGGAGGGAGGTTGAAAGTTGATGCCAAAAAGGGGTGAGAGACTGACATGAGGGCAGGCGGAGAGGGGGAAATGTAGGAATGGTGCTCACCCTTGGCACTGTAAATATTCCCAGAGTTACACAGGACAACGCTGGACCACACCCACCAAGGAAAAGCACACCGTTTATCAGGAAAAAGTGAAAATTCTGGGAAATAAACGGTATTGCCAAGTCTCCACTGGAACCAATACAGACTCAGAGATCGTTTTTAAGGGATCCTGACTGGTTCCCTTTGTGTTCTTGCTCTTTCCACTCAGCGTTTTTACTGTGCCTTTCTAAGGAGCCCAGGTAAAAGTGTGAGGAATGAGCCCTCTTGCCTTGGGAAGAGGTGAATATTCATTAGATTTAGGAGTATTTCCAAGGTGCTTTTTGAAAGTGGGATTTACTAAAGCATTTTAAAGTGTCCTGACCTAGAGCATGTCCTCAGCCCTTTCATCTTCTCAACCTTAGAGGGGCAGCACTGGAATTCCTGCCCACTTTGGGCACAGTGTGTTTGCTTTTTAATAACTTTAATATTCCAGCTGCAGGAACCCCCTCCATCCATTCCGTGAGTGGGGGACAGGTGACAGCCAGGGACACCATCTCAGCTGGCCTGGGGGGTTCTGCAGCAGCTGCAGTGGGATGAGGGGTCTGCTCATGCCCTGACATGGAATTACATAACATGACACAAAACCTCTGGAAAAATTTCCCAATATACACAAAACCAGACTGTTTTTGTGTATATGAGGCATGTTTGGGTGCTGTAAATAGGCTGAGATGACTTTGCTCCCTGGCAGACTTCTCCCATGTGCACAGAAGGCCAGAGGTGTCCTGCCCAGCCCCACTGTGATTGCCCACGCGAGGAATTTGTTGGGATATTTCACACAGGAATCCAGGATTTGTTAGGATATTTCACACAGGAATCCAGACACTGTGCTTTAAATTAGGATAAAATTTAGACAATACTCACTTCCCTTTGACTGTCAGCTCCTCTGGGCACGATGAAAGCA